CCTAGGTCAAAATCAAATCCTAAGGCACAAAACCAAGCATTTATGGCAACTCCGAGGTTATTTGGCATATCAAAGTCTAGGATTTGAAAGCAGACTAAAGATCAACCAAATATATATATAACCTCTTCTATTAGAAATTGGCCAAATATATCAGCCACTTTTCAATATTTTATAAATGACATATTTTAAGAGTTTCTAAATGATTTTGTTATCTACTATTCAAACAACATTTTAATCTACTCTAAGAATACAAAAGAATATGAACTTTATGTTAGTTGTGAAAAATAAAGACATTCAATAATTATATAAAATTACTTTTATTAAAAAATAAAATAATAGATATTCTATAAAATAAAATACTTTTATTGAATAAATAAATAAATATTTAATTAAAAAATATTCCTTTTTTTCTATTCATGTGAATATAAATATAATTTAATACCATTCCAAAATTATAAATAGAAGCATCTTTGAACTTTTGTACATTATAACATAAATTATCTTTATTCGATTAGTATATTAAAAATATCTATTTCTTTAAAACAAATTGACATATTCAAATTTCATGTCAATGTATGAGTTTGTCATTTAGCTAATATTAATAAAAATTATTTTATATTTAAATTTAAAATATTTAAGTAAATTAAAATAAAATTTATGAATATAATAAAAATCATTGTTAATAAATATAGGTGAGTATATATATATATATATATATATATATATATATATAGATTCACACACACATACACACATACAAATAAAAAAAACTGTTTCATTGAATATAAATGTAGTTCTTATGTAGCAGTAATGTTGGCAAGTCTCAGCTACCATGGATTATTAGCAAGGGATTATAAAATAGAGGATGAGAATGGAGGGAGTATGAAGTAGAGTCCATTGTAGTCTATGAACAAGGGACATGGAACAAAGATAAGTGATGGATGAATCAATCATGAGATAGCAAGAAAAGATGTGGCTTTAACAACTTTATATATATATATATATATATAATAAAAAAATCAAATATTTATTTTAGGTTTCTAAAAATTTATTTATTTATTTAATATAATAAAAAATTATAAATCTAATGGAATTATGACTACAAAGTTATCAAAATAATTTGTGTGTATATATATATATATATATATATATAAAGTCATATAAAATATATATAAAGTTATTTTAGAATATAATTTTTTTTAATAAAAAATGTAATTATTATGAAATACTACAATCACACAAGATTCCTTTTTTTTAATCTTTACATTGATCCATATTTATTGTATATCAAATAAATAAATAAATAAATAAATAAAAATCACATACATTGATGAGTCAAAGGATGTGCTCTTCAATTTGTTGCATTATATATACCAATGTTTTTTTATAAGTTGTAAGACATGACTTTATTTTAAACTATGATGTCTATTTTGGAAATTATTGAGAAGATTGAGATGATAATTTTTTCAACTTAGATAAATGACAACTAAAGTAAAACGTTTCACAATGATGTGGATATAATGTTTTAGTCTTTAGATTATAGAATTTGTTACTTGAAGGTTGAATTAAAAAAATGTTAAACAAGACTTCTTATGCTGCATTTTTTAGAATATTCAATGTAAAAGATGGTGGTTCTGATATTGTGCAAGCATTTCTTTATATTGTTACTATTACTATTTCAGACTTTAAATAATTTGAATGCTATTTTAAAATAATATTATTCTATTATTCAAATCTAAAGTAGTTGTTACAATTTTCTTGGTCTGAGGTTCTTGCAACACATGCATGACTACTGTGTTTATTATCGTTAGAAACTATTTGTAAAGCAAAAAAATATTCCTCAACAATAACTTTAAAAAATCAAGAGAATGTGAAATTTTAATTAATCGTGGTTGCAAAGTATTAAAGAAGGATTAATCTCACTGATTGTAATGAAATGCAATTTGAATTCAATATAAACTCAAATTAGAATAAAAAATAAATTTATAAGAATTTTTTTATATTTAAAATGGTATAAAATTTTAACATTAATTATAAGAATCTTCAAAATACATGTATTTTCAATTAATAAACTAAATCAAATTATTTATTTTAAAAGTATTTTCTAAGTATGATTTTTATATACAATATGTTTTATATACTTTTAATAAAGTAAGATATCCAATCAAATAATACAACAAAGATTCTCTCTCTCTATCTATCTCTCTCTATTTATCTATCTATGTATATATATATATATATATATATATATATTATAAAAATGTGGTTTTCTATTTGTGTAAATACGTGTGTCATAAAATTTTATCAAGTTGATAAAGTAGAAAATCCCATACACTTTGACAAAAGCTATTCTATTTCAAAGACTATGCGTTCTAGTTTATTGAACAATTGTGTAATCAGTAACCTACCTGCACAACATAAACACGCTATTTTTTAGATTCTGAAATTCTATAATCAAATTCAGATATCAAAGAAACTAGCATGATATTACTACTTGACAATAGAAAACAATTGCAAGTAATCGGTGATGCTGAAGTCATGGCAATGGTTGTGATCTATAATAGACAACTTGATTTTCATGCCAAACTTCTCTTCTTCTTCTTCTTCTTTATTTTTCATGTTTTATTGAATAACTTTAGACATTTGAATAGATTGGAAGTAACAGAATCAGGTTTTGAGTTTTGCACCTGGTGTTTGTAAACCAACGTTTTGCATAGATCATCCAAAGGGTAGAATGACCATTGCAAGAGAAATTAAGAACAAAAAAACAATAAATGTAATTAAAAAATAGCTTTTACATTGTTGTTAATATAATCTCATTGTGCATGTGATCTGGGTAAATAGTCATATAATAAATTGAGTACATTACAGAATAATTTATCTATTTTATTAAATGAAATAAAATAATCATTACTATGTTCTGTCAAAGGTAAGTAAACACCTTCCCATGAATTTAAGACCAGACAAGTCTAAAAAAATAAAAAATAAAAATAAAAGGAAGAAAGAAATCCTACACATAGAAAATGGCAGATAAGTTTCCCTTCCCTCCACAAAACACAAGAGAAAAAATAAATACTTATTGTTTTAAAAATGATGTAAATAAATAAATAAATACTTACAAAAAAAATCAATAAAAGAACCGAAAAGCGGGTGGACAAAAGTGCAGCTGGATGTGACAAAAGATGACTGTGGAGACAAACGAACAGAATGTTGTCCACCTGGATCCAACTTCATCCAATGTACTACGTCCTTTCAGTGTGAGGCGTTTAGTCCTGCTTTCATCCTGTGCAGGCAACGGAATTCATCTGTACAATGAAAACGACGCGGATGACTGATTATAGATGAATGAGGGGCCATGTGTGAGAGTATGAGGTTTTCCTTTTTCTAGGGGCAACAGATATTTAGGGGCCTGTAGAGATTAAGGCTGCTCAATTTGAGGAACTCTCTTGCAAGTTGATCCCTATCCCCATGTGATTGAGATTACTCTCTCCCCCCCCCATTATCATTCATCCGTGTCTTCGTTCATCCATCCATCCTCCCCTTGATCTCTTGAGAACAAGACCCTAAAACCGTTACTCTCTCTTTGTTATATATATATATATATATATATAATTGTGTAACTGTAGTGCTGTTGTTGAAATCAATATTTTCGTTCCTTGACTGCTGATACATTTTAATTATTTGTCTTTGTCATTTGTCTTCCATCAGAGCATCATATATTTAATTCATGCTTTGAGAATTTGGAGTTGATGTTTTTTCATAATTTAGTGTTGATCTTTGTTTTATTCTATATTTAGAATTTCGATCCATCTACAAGCGCTATCTTATTTATGGTTCGCCTTGCATACATTGTGTAACAATATATCAGATTCATACGTATTTTAATAGTCAAATTGATTCCCTTCTCGAGGAATTGTTCCCAGCTTAGCTATTGCTTTTTTTTATAGAAATTGTTTGGTTGGAGGCAACTCTGAAAGTGAACAGACTTGCCTTGAAAATTTAATAAAATGGTTCGCTCTGGTGCAAAGGTAGTTAAAACAACAAATGAACATTTCTCAATTCTTGCTTAATTGCTAATCTTGTCAGTCAATAAAGAGTGTTGAATTTTAAACGAACTTAGTTGTCTAAACATGTTAAATTTTTATTGCGCAAAAATATTGATTGATTTTTATTCCGTAATATATAGTTATGTCATAAATAATTTATATAAGAATATATATATATATATATATATATATACGAAACTAAGATAAATTATGGCACCATATGTAACATTGAGTAAGAAAAATGTCAACACATAAACACACCCATTTAATGCAATGCACATCACATGAGCTCCTCTCAATTTCTATGAAACAAGCACTAAAAACACTCTTTTTATTTTCATCCTTTTTATCTTTTTGTGAAAAAAGTCCTTATTCTCCTAAAACCAAAGTGCCTCACTCCCTTCGTTGGTCATCATCCAAGCATTGTGTCAAACCCTAATTTTGTGATCCCTGTGCAAAAGTTCATTAGACCTACTTCATCAACAAGCAATTCAGAGCCTTTTTTTTCACCTCAGTTCCGTATTTCATACCAGGCTCCTTCTCAATGATGCTCTTTGAAGCATGGTATAGAATGAATTTACAGTTCAATGCACCTTAAAAACCACATATCATTTCAAACTTTCTCCACCGAAACAATTTTACCCAAAATCAGTATTCTTGATGCCGCATTCTTAATTACCTGGGGAAAATTGTCGACTGAAGGATAAAACAGGAGCCCATGTGGTGGTGGGAAACTTTCATTAAAAGAAATGGGTGAAAATGGTGCGGGGATCGTCAAAAACAACGCCAGGAGTTTCACAGCAACTTTCCCTAACGGATGAAATATCGTCAACGACAAAAGGAAATATTTTTATTCATTCATTCAGTGAGATCCGGAGGTCAATGCACAAAAGTGGGTTCAGTAGGAAAATGAGCTCCAGCCGTACTCATTCACTGATTCACTTGCTCCTCCTCCTCCGTAGTACAAAGGCCTCGCTCCCTCGCAAATTGCAGGCAGGCAATCCATCGTGGTGACAAAAATGCCGGTCCCCATATTTTGCGATCTTACTGTAGCGAACAACCGCGTAGGGGGAAGGGGTAATTTAAGCCTGGCTAACCCAGATTGCGGCTCCACAGGGCAGGCAAAGGTTTTGGATCTCAGAGACAGGGACGGAGGAGGACGGACGAGGAGGGGGTTGAAGCGTGAAGGTTGAGAGTGAGTTGCGGTGTCTCACTCGTCTCTCTGTTGTCTCTGTCTTGGTCCCCCCCCTCCCCACCCCACCTGGCACAGATTTCCACTTCCATTGTCCAAGGGTATTGAATTTCTCCAACGTGGGGCGTTTGTCTCCCTATCCAGGAGAGAGAGAGAGGCAATGACCAGCAGCTCTGTGGGGAGAAGCAAAACCGCGTGATCCGTAGTCCTGGTGATGATCCACTGTGTTGGTGCAACGACAAGTTTGATGGGTGTGGGGTTGGCATTTGGATTTTTTCGTTGCATTGATGAGTTGGCTGGATGTTGGGCTCTGCTTGAATGACTGGGTTCACGGGGGAGAATGGGGACTCATGGTTTCGGTCCTTTTTGCGGGCTTTGTATTAGAGAGTGGATGCTGGGGCACTGGCAATTCGATCTCTAATCTCTACTTCACATAATAACTTGCTTTGGGATCATTTGACAGATTCTTAGGAGTTGCCTTGTCTGACATTGTCGATGGAGTGATAGATCTCAGCACGATGCTTTTGTCTATGAGCTTTCTCCTCCCCCCTCTCCATTCATTCCCTGTTTTTGAGCGAGTGTGGGGGTGAGCGAGTGTGGGGGTGAGCGAGCCTCATTTTCATAGTAACAAGCTAATTGAGCTCAATTTTCTTGCCATTATTGCTGGTCCATTTGGATTTGGTGGATCGCACCGATGTTATCACCGATGAGCTCGAAGCATTGTCATCTGCAGTAGAACACCTGGGTTCTAGTACAGCGAAGTTGGGAGTGCGTAGTGTTTGTCGATCTTTAAGCTATCCGTGGATGGGCCACCGTCGTTAGATTTCGATTTTAAAGTTCTCCCATTTTTACTTGAGAACATAAGTTAGTTTTATGCTATAAGATTCAGCCCAAGCACTTATTTTGGAAACACTTCTCTTGTCAGCCCGCAGGCCATTCTGCTCAAACTTGCCGTGACAAGTAGGTCTAGCGTCTTTTGGTCAGGGTGATTTGGGATTTTGAGGAACTGCGAACTTCAGAAGTTATTAATCATGATCAAGTTGCTGAGGTTTTCCCCTGTTTTTGTAGGATAATAGAGGTTTTGCACAGCGACGCTCTGGTATCACATCCATGGAATGCTCAGCAGAGTACCCAAGTGGTGGCTTGTAAACCTCTGCTACTGGCGATGACCGCGGAAATGAAGTTGGTGATTTTATGACCCGAAAGTCTGGCAATTTGAGCAGGAAGAAAACTCTGGGGAAGGCACTGCTGTTGGCACATGGTGGATCAAGTTGAAGTAAATATCGAGGTTTAGGGTTGAAGCATTTTAGCAGGTATGGATTACCAGATATTTCTGGTAAGGCCTCCGGCAATTGCTAGGGCTCCTCGGGGAGGTCTCCGGCTTCTTCGAGTTCTCGACCATGGAATCTCAGTGTTGCCCGTGTCGACTCCTAATGTGGCGCCTACTGAGTATAGTTTCGAACACATTTCAAAGGTCATGCCAGCAGATGATGATCCCACTGAGGTGAAACTGGAAATTTCGGACACAAGCAAGTCAGGGTTTGGAGTTGAGACGATTCGCTTCTGCTGTGAAGCCAGGACTTCTCTTATTACTGCGCTTCTCAACCGCATGGATGACATAAATGGCATTGGTATATTCTCACTACTCCATTTGAATTCGTTGACGCGTGTAGTGTGAAAGATAAGTAACATGTGGTTTGAAACGTTAGAATTCAAGTTGTTGAGTTAACATTCTTATTGATTCTGCCAAACCTTCGCTTGTATAGGGATTGACTATGCGGCGCAGAAGCACAGTAACCAGAAAGGAGGGTTGTCTGATACGATTCTCCGTGTGCGAAGTGCTTCCATTGTGAAAATGGTCAACTCAGGTCTTCGAACAGATTCTAAGGTGATAAAGAGTAACAAGCAGCCTTGTGATTGGTTATTTTAGTAGTTGACATTGCTTGTTAGGCTAATTTTGCTACATTTTTTCAGAATTGCGTGGACTATAACTTCGTATCATGTATTTTTAATGTAATCGAACTTAATCACACAGGTGAAGGCCTCGAAGAAGGTTAATTTTCAGGACATAGTTAAGCTCGAAATTCTCAGTGACGATGAGCAAGTTGTGCTGATCTCTCTCAAATCACGAACCATGCGACTCTTAGTTAAGGATTCGGTGGCTTTTGTTTCCGCTATTCAGAGGAACATGAAGGTATACACCTGCTCACCTGAAAGAGTCACGGAATTAGTTTTTGATATGGTCGCATTACGTTAAGATGAGCCATTAGCTGAGGTTAGCATCTCAATTGGTCAAGTGAATGTGCTTCTAATTGAGTTTAAAGGTTCTTGCCACGCACACCCCTCTGAAATCAACGCACGTAAAGGGCGTGCTACCAGATACTTCCTTGAACAGTCTTACAATCAGAATTTGAGCTGAAGGACCCTTAGATTGCCAATTTATGTGATTAGCTAACCTTAGATTTTAGTCTTCTGTACATAGTAGAAGAGCGTGAGTGCGGATTCGTATTTAGATTTGATAAGAAAAACAATTTAATCCGTTTCTGAAAATTGATCGCAGGTCCATTTGAAACGTGACATGGAGATTGAGAGAATAGAATCAGATGCAATGATTGACCTCTTAGCCACGCACTACAAGAAAGTTGTAAGTATTTGAGCATTCTGTTGCAGCTTTGGCTTGGTTATGTTTCTGTACAGCTGAGAACAAAATGTACTGTACAGTGTAGCAGACATTACATTGTTCTCAATAATGGTGCATTAACCTGATTTCTTGTATTAAATCGAATCGCTTTTTTGGAGACTAGCCGCCGACATGTGCGTTTCTAGTGGCAGCTAAATGTCACCAGCTTCGTACCATGTCATCCATTGTACATAGCATCCTTTGTGTTCAGAGACTTAGAGTTGCTCTTTGAATGCAGCGAGAATATCCAGTTCTTTACGAATTTCAAGCTGTGAAGCCATCTAGATCCCACAATCCAGATAGGTTGCATAGCTTGTCCATTACCAAGCACCTTCTCATTGAAAGTTTCGAAGGCGACATCATAAATGTTCACAGGTACACCTCGTCTGTTTCCCTTTGATTACGACTTTCAATTGCGAACTCACGTGGAGTCCATAAGACCGGTCTCCATGATAGAGAACATGTCCTGTTGTGTTTTTTCCTCTTAAAGTTGAGGAGCCCATGAACAAAATGATTGTAAACGTATAGTTTTGACGCTGTTTTGACACACTGTAGTTGGTTTCTTTTTGCTTGAAGCTTTCTAATCCTTGGCGATTTCTGAATACAGTCTAGAAGACTTGCTCGGTGTTGTAGTTAGTGAGACGAATGATAAAGAGGTTGTCATGGAGTTCACATCGTGGAAAGATTGCCACTTCCTGCTTAAAAACCGAGATGACTTCGTTGCAACCTTAGCTGACGTGATGGGCATGGAAAAGGGCTCCACATTCAGCATCCGCTTGGAGCCATATCATTCTTGCACGTTTCCAGAGCAACAGAGTAACCTTCACCAGGTGTTAGCTCCATCTACACATTGTCACTGAATGTTGTTTATACTACATGCGAGACATTACACCTATCATAGATATTTTCACGTGAATCGCTCTGAATTAGGTTCAGTGTGCACTTTTGGTTGAGACATTCAGGCGCTCTGCTCAGTGATTTCGCAGAAATAAGCTTGGATAAAAATCGCGTATGGTTGAAAATCTTGTCTGCTATCTCTACTGATGCTAGCATTACATTTCAGGTTGAGTGCGAGGTATTCTACTTGAATCGTTTCATGACAGCGTTCAATTCAACGAAAGAAGCGGGGGCATTGCATTTACCATTGAAGGAGTATGCTGCAAATATTCTTGTACGATTTTAAGAATTTGTCTGTTGTATAATATTTCTAGCAACATATGCTAGCAGTCGGACAATGAATTCCTGATTTGTGCTGTAAAATCATTGCTTTTAGATGGAAAGGCGAGCGACCAATTATCAACATATTTTTGTTTTGAAATACCAAAGTTCTAGAATGTTGATTTTCTGGTGTCAATTTACAGCCCCGCAATCATGTGTTGAAGTGCTATGTCAACCTATTCGATTTTGGCTTTACTAGTGCCTAACATACAGTCATGCAGATCGGAGAATCGCAATGCTCTGACGCTAAAGTTCTTCAAGCTGTTGTTGACACCCTGAAGGAAACCATTGGTAAGATAACTTGCTTTCTTTGACTTTGAGATATGCAGTTATGATCGACTTGCATGGCATCATAAACTGTTCAATCATACGCACGCGTCGCTCGCTTTTAAGTGCTACTACTCTCTTAGAAATTACTGCATCCCCTACTGTAGTTGGATATGACGGACACAGCTGGGATCCGATGAGACCGTGTACTGAAAGTTCAGAATTGTTGTGATTTAGGGAAGCAAAAGCCAGATACTGTACGAGTTGCCACATGTTGCATGGTGCTTGTTAGGCTTTTGGGATCCAAAGCTTGCTTTAACTCCATTGGAAGCATACCCGAAATTGCATCGGTCCTTTTCCAGGTATTTTCTTCACCGGTTGTTATGTACTGTGCTAGATTTTCGATGTGACTGAGGAGTTTTGGATCCTGACACAGTCCGAAGCAGGAGTTAACAAAAATGACAATGTTGTCTCATCTCTTCATTGCAGTGCGTCCGTTCGAAACATAGTGTCATCTCTTATCACGGCACGCTGGTCATACGTGCAGCCGTCAAATTTGTCGTTCAAACTGGTTCCACTGAAGCCGGACACGTTGCATCGAAGGTAAAAGTTTCAAAAATCTGAATTCAATAATTTGAGATTACTATGCAAGTGCTTAAAGAAGGGAGTGTGGAGTGATGTGTTTCAAGTTCTTGGCGTACAACGTAGCAGCAATTATAGTAAATACTGAGGTGTATCTGTTGAATGTTTATGATATTTACTTCAAAGTTCTTGCAGTAACAAACCCCTTTATGTATATCTTCCTGTACATGCAGCAAGAATTTACCAACAGAATGTCGCTGCTAACTTTAGAATACCTACAGCAACTAGTCGCATTACTACATACGCATGCACCCCCCAAGAAGAATTCCTTGCAGGTTTTGTATCTCTTTTTGCTGCCCTGATTCTCTCTTTTGTTCACATGTTTTCATGCCGAGTAAGCTTGCACAATGTAACCTTTTGAGAATAAATATATTATCTCATCTATTACTATTGGTACATTTCTTTCTCTATGAAGGTTCTTATCCTTCACGAATTACTGCACAGGTGATAGGTATCTTGGACATCTTGACGTTTGCGCTTAGTTCCCCACCTACAGATAATGATGCAGGACGTCTGTGGCTCAGAGTATATTCCTACCCAGACAGTATTCTATTAATGTCTTCTTTTTAACTTACCACATTATCATTTTTGTCATTCTAATGTCTTTCGAACCTGATATTTTTGACACATGCTTTTCAGGCATATGAGGCATCTATAATGTCAACTGCAGACCTTCTATGCACATTTTTCCGTTTAACCAGTGATGTTGTTTACACCAGGTAAATAACATACATTTCCTCTTACTCTTAGCACATCATTTCCATGTTCGGATGACCCTCCAAAATGTTTTGCTCGCTTTGCTCAAGAGGATCTTTGTAATGGTCCAGTATTTCACCTCCCTGTGTGCGATGTAAACAGACTCTCGATCCTTCTGCAAGCACTGCTCACAATCATGTCCCCCGTTGTCCGCAAACACCTGCAAGTATGTCCTCTCTAGATTCCAATTTCAATAGTTTGTTTCTAGTATTTGAGAAGATGCTCCAAGAAATCAGTCGTTCCTGACGTCTACTCTCATCATTTCGTCGTCTGGTAACGCCTTCCTGGAGGCCCTTAAGAAGCTAATACACATAATTCCATTATACCACTAGTGGGTCCGACTCTAATGTATGACCTTGGATGTCTTGTTCAGAGTATTTGCCTCAGTCGGTGCGTGCTTCTATTACACTTGAGCACAGCAGTATTCTCGATGAAGCCGCATCTTCGCTTGCTGAGCAGTAGTCAGATCTTTTTTTTGATGGACGATAATGAAGAAGCGAAGAAGCTGCTTTTGTCTGTATTACCCAAGGTAATGGAACTTCTTAATTGGCTTCCAGGTATTCCTGTAAGGAAACGAGTACGTATTGTGCCAGTTAGCTTGTTGAAAATACATATTTTCCTAATTTTAATTGCAATGCAACGACTATTTTCCTCTAAGTTGCTTAACAGTGTCAATGTGTTTGGTGCGTAGGGCGTGATGACACTGTACACCAATAAAGTGATAGAGATGGATGACAAGGTATGCCTATACTTGCCATTACTAAATCGTTGATTTCCCGTCTAATGAAGTGGAGTCCACTTGAGACGTTGCTAACCTTGTGTCGCAATGTGTAGAAAGAAGTCATAAGCGATTTTTCTGCGTGGAAGGACACCATAGATTTGCTACACAGTGGAAGTGTGGAGACGCCACTTCTTGTATGGAATGACATTAAGCGTTCTGAGTTGAAGAAGGTATTATTTACATCAATGATCCATGGTATAAAATGAGGCGGTGCTGTTTCTTTCTGTTTTGTTCGGTTTGCATGATGTGTAAATATAAATATTCGGTTTAGTGCAGTCTTGCGGACATTGGTGTCTGAAGTCATTGATTTTAGAATTCAGTCGATGACTTGAATGTAACTTTTCGCTGATGTTCACAGTTTCTTAAGGAAGAGTTGGAAGGGTATTACACGGCATTAGAAGCAAGTAACGACATACTGTACAATTCAACAGATGTTCAGCTTATATACTCCACTGCGAGCGAAGGCGGAGGTCAGTCTTGCTATGCACAAGTGTAGATTTTTCAAATTCTAATTTTGAATTTACCTCCTTCACGATTACTTCACTGGTGTGATTGAGGTGTACATTGCAGTTAGCCTGATTTTCCTTGCCCCAATTCGTTCTGGCCAATCTGAACTACGCTTGATCATCAAAAGATGGTTTGGGTGACATGCAGGGTCCGTTGTTAATGGCGTCCACCTCGAGCTTCTTGTTGATCATCACCCTCCTAAGCATGGTCTTTACAATATATTCTGGAAGGTCAATACAATTTCACAACAGCTGTTTTCTTATTCTCCATGATTTTGCAATAGTTAATTGCGAAGACTATATTGGTCTTATTCTATTATGGAATTCTCAAGATGTTGTCTATAAACTAAGTTCTAGAGCATATGATAAATGCAAAAGTTCTACGTGTAAGCTCAATGTCTCTGTTGATTTGTGATGCAGCTTGGAGACCCGCTACCTTTATTTCAGTCAGTCTATCAAGCTATGCTCCTGGGCTTCACTCCATTGTTTGGAAACAATAATCTACCTGAAATAGATCTGCGCTTAGCCGTGCATGTGTTGACTTGGATTTACGAACGTCACACAGATGATGTTAGCTCTTGTATGGAGACGTTAAAAGTCATCGAGGTATGTTTCTGAGGAGGAACCCACGAAGAATCATACTTCTTGTATGTTTCTAAATTGTTTGCTCTCTGGAGAAAATGCTATTATGTAAAGAATAAGCTAGAATTCTGTACTTTTTCACGGCTTCAAAGTTCAGGTCATTGACGTACAAGTTCTCACTCTCTGGTTTCGTCCTCGTTTTTAAGAATCGTCAAAAACAAAAGGAAACATCTAAAATCTAATTTTGTACGTATGTATGAATGCTTTTCTACAGACAGTAGTGGGGATGCTGCGGGAAGTCATTGACAGTGAACATGAGGTTTTTGTGTTCAAACTGGTAATTTTTCTCTTGGCCACATTGGAGAATGGCGATCGAGAGAATGTAGTTCGCTTTACCCACGCAGGTGGAGTTTCTGTTATAGCATCTTTAATGGTGTTATCTGCAGAGAAGGTAACTTCCTCGCATAGCCTAGCTCTGTGAATGTAGAAAATATGTTGTATGTGAAGTGTATGATGTTGGTTTGAATATATGGTGGTCATACAAGACATATATATAAAGCTAAATAAAGCTATATAAAGACGTCTATATAAAGCTATATGGTTTTCTTTTGCTAACTTTTAAGGGACTCAAAAGTTACATCCTGCCTCGTTTTTTATTTCCAGTGTTGTAAGGATAAGACGTTATTCGAATGTAATGGTTGGACAAGCAAGGGCGCTTTAGAGAAGGGGCAATTTGAAATCCTCAACTACACTGGCGCAGATGGTATGTCAAGGCTGGTGCGAGTTCCGTCTGTAATGGCTCGGGAAATGTCTGGTAAATCGGTTCAAGATGGCAGCTTAGATGCTAAAGATGGAATTAGATGGCAAGACAAAAAAGTGCCTCCCAAAATCCAGCTGGGTTTAGTCTTGGATCAGTTCGAAACTCTTTTGAGGTACCTCTCACTTTGTTATCAATGAGTGCAATAAATTTTGCAGTGACTTGAATGTGAAGCAAGAGCAGTCTGGATTTTAGTTCTTTGATGTAATGATACTGACGAGGTTTCAAATGTAAGTCCATGCAAGCTATGGTTCTGATACGTGATTCATTTCACTCGTCCTCCTCAAAATAACAGAGTATCTGGTGATAGTAGCAATCTCAAACAGCATTATCCACCGTCGGCTGCCGTTTTGAGCCTTTCCAAGGACGAGACTCTTTGCCACTTAGTGCAAATTCTACTGCGGCTTAAGTCTCCCGAATTCGGCAGGTACATATGGGTTCTTTGATTTATTGTGCAGGTTGTCAAAGCACTGCTTGGGCCTGCCTCACTTTCTTCTTTATAGATTTTCCTTGCATTTGAGTTGATGAATTCCTTGTTAGGCTTCTGCTTAGGAGTTTGTGTTACTTTTTAGTTCGTGTATTATTTTTAATTGCATCGACCTGGCATTACCTCTGGGAATCCTGATAACTCACTTAATACTGTTATCAGGACTTTAGAGATTGTCTCGACAATTGCTAAGGAAAATAGGAGTGCTATGGCAAAGCTACACTCGCTAGGTGCGTTTGAGATTCTGTTGTGGAAATTTCTTGCCGGGGATCTCGTTGACTGGGAGAAAGACATGGTCTGCAAGTTCTTATTGCAATCCCATTTACAGCAGGTACTTCGCCGTTATTCCTTCTTCGTTAGTTTTGCACAGTTTTAGTTCTTTATTTGAATTGCGGTTTAGTTATATCCTATTGGTGGATTTGGGGTGCAGGCACACTATCATAAGATACACGGTTTCTATAACTCTCAGACTTAGTGTATGAGTTTGTAACACGTCTATTCAAGTTTTGGTGACAGGATCAAAGCACAATGCCCAAAATCAACGTGAGCGACCAATCTCCTTGCAAAGGCAGTGCACTCCGACTGTACCTACCTGATGGGCTCATTATAAGGCTTATGGCTGAGGTATGTACCCATATTTACCTGCCTGTTTAGTTTGAATCTTGATCGGGCTCGTTCTGGCAAGCGTATGAGGGGAAACAGTTGTCCTGTTAGGGAGTCTGCTTGTCCTAGAATACAGGAGAATCGAATCACGCGTTATTCTATATGAATTCAATGTACACCGTTCATGTTTTATGTGTACTTGGTGCAGGATATGGACTCGTATAGAGTCTTTGCTGGAGTGCTAGATACCGAACAAGATGCACCTGATATTATCTGGAATAAAGCCATGCGGCAACGACTACTAGATCATCTTACGCATGAGTTGGAGCCGTTTGTCAGAGCTCGAGCGACCAATTCTATGGCACTGTTTGTGCATACACCCCGAACTCCCATCTTCTACCCTGAGTTGGTTGGTAAGTTCAGAGTTCATTGTAGTCATCCACTTTCTAAATGATTGCAATCATGAATCTCAGGTTCTTTCTCTACATATGGAAATTTTTACCAAGCAGCTATTTAAGATGGATCCTTCCATGCTACAGACATGGTCTTCTCTGCTCCTTTCTATCTACAAAATCTCCTGGATGAGGAGCGCTTCCGCGACTACCCTATAAGCAACCCTGAGGGGTTTCTCAGCAGCCTCATGCTGGTAAGTTTTAATTTCTCTTTTAGTATCATTCATTATTCGCATGTACAAGTGCCTCTGAAATCATCATGGTTTTAATAAACATTTTAACAGCCTTATGGTCAACTTTTGCATCTTCCAGGATTTACAGAATTTAGCGACATCAGGAGATCCAATGCGGTCGAAGATACTACAGCGGACGGAGCTCCTTCTACAAGCCCTGGTTCATACCTCACTTCACTTTTTTTACTGATGATATTGTTGGTCAAGAGTATGTTCACTTTTCAATGCTCTTCACAGCTTTTCATAACAATAGTGATTATTTGCATTGTTCCTTACGTGTCATGCTTCATGTCTTGCAGGCATACGTCGTCGACCGTTTCCCACTGACATTGCCAAGTGATGCGGAGGATCTTCTTATTACAATGGCATCGCCCTCTCTAGAAACTTGTTTGGCTGAGACGGAGAGCTCTGATCCAGTTTGTATAGAGATTCTGCAACATACAGTCAAAGTTCTGCGGAGGGTTGTTGCTGTGAACACTAAGCTTGACGACTTACCTCAGGCATCTTTGAACTTCGCGTTGGATATCCTCACGCTTGGAACTCGGTGGAGCACCAATAGTACTCTCGACTTAGCAGTCGCTGGTTCTCTGTCTCTGTTAGAAGTGATATCCTCTCACCATGGTGGGAGGACGCACTTGTGGGGCGACTCCAGGTGGCAGGAAGGCATGCAATGGGCTCTAAGTTGCGCTGTTAACGATGCCACTGCAACTCCGTCTAGAGGTCCGAGCCCCGTTTCATATCATGCATTGAACTGTCTGAAACACTTTGCAGGAGATTCTGACTACAGACAGGGGATTATTCATAGGGGCATCCATCTCCCGTTGCTGTTGCTAGTAGTACCACCTGCAGGCGTTGATCCCAAGTCTGAATCTGCAACTTCCACACTGTCCATCTCTGCTGCAAATGTTCTTGGCTCCTTTGTGCGAGGAGATGGAGCCCACTTTACCTCCCTCTCGAATCTGATCCCCAAGCCGCTTCTATCTTGCTTGGAAGATGATGAGGAGCTTGGCAAGTTCATCAACATGGTAGGTTCAGACATTCGAATGCCGACTACAATGTGGACCGCCGATGTGCGAGTGGAACTTCGTGGAAGGGCTCTAGAGAAGATGACGAGGCGTGACGAGGATGAAGAGCAATGGTTGCACAATTTTAAGTATGCTTGTCTTCAAAAGGAGTTTGTAATTGGTGGTGTTTTCGTAAACCACATTGCGTCTGGGAAGTTGGAGGGAGCTGACTTCCCGGACAATGCTGACTTTTTGGACCTCATGATGGAGTACCTTGAGAGGGAACGAAGCGTCGTCAGCCTGACGGAAGTTGAGAACGAAACTGAGGAATTTGAAGATAAGCACGTGATAGTTTCAGAAGGAATGCAAGAGCAGCGTAGTCAAGCAGTAGAGCTTGAGAAGTATGTCCAAGTTCTGGTTGCATTAAAGGAATGCCTAAAATTTGCAACGTCCCATGGCAAGCTCAACCTGATGAAAAAATTCAAGCTGCAAATTTTCTTGGACATTGCATCAATGGATCACTGTTCCCCCAAAGTTTGGACTGAACTTATGTGGGTTTTCAAGGAGATGGCTCACGATAAGATTTCACAGGAAGCCATACTTGAATCAAATCTTCTCGGGTTAGCTGGGATATTCCTCTGGGATGCCGTGACAGAGGACAACGGTGAAGAAATGAAAGCAGTTCTTCACGCCACTTTGGATGCGCTACTATTCTTGAGTGAGAATATTTCAGCCAGTGTGGAGGTTACGAACTATTTCTCTAGCAGCGGGCTGCTGTTTCCATTGTTATGCCTCTTTTGTGATGTTGATCTACCCAGCCTGCGAAGTGGGATCATGGAGACCGAGAAGATTACCCCTCACATGAGACTAATGGCATCATGCATACTTGGACAACTTTTGCTGTGTTGCTGCGGAGTCAGCCATCGTGTCAGTTTTCTTGGAGATTCCAAAGAGCCGAAGGATCCATTTAGCGAGTCCAAAAAAATCAGAGTAATGTCAACTGACGTTGATGACTTGATGGACATGCTTGCGCCAGGCTACCATGGGGCAAAGCCGCTTGTTTTTCGAACTTTAATGTTACTCATGCCTCTGGAGCTTCTGTCTACTCTGGCGCATAACCCAGCACGAGCATGTGATTTATATAAGGAGACGGTGTATCTTCCAAGGCTAGTGTGGGACGATGAAACTCGCCGTTGTGTCTATCAGACACTTACAAAGGAGGCTATTAAGTTTCAAGTCTTCGTGAAGAATCAGCTGGTTCCTGGGCTTGGATCTTGGTCGTTAGAACTTGATCAGCCAATTTTTACTCGCTGGATACTGGCCACTGTATCAGATGACGACAGCAAGCCGCTCTACAAGAATTCAAGGGAGGAATCATATGTGCCTGAAATGTACTTGGGTGGATTCTTTGTGGATCACTTCCTCCGAATACCTGATTACTTCTTCGGCAAGGTTCTCGAACAACGATTCCTTCGTGAAGTACAAAAGGCAATTGTTTTGGGCGTGTGTTCAGAAGATCCTGATGACGTGAGAAGGCTTATACTCTCCTTATTGTTGCTTTTCCAAGGGCGAGAGTATTTGTTGTCTGGCCGCTCCTACGTGGACATTTTTCTAGCCGTGAGCCGTTACATTTGCTCCACTGGTGCTGAAGGTCGCATGCTTGCTCAACCAGCGATGATCTTAACTCATTACATTGCCAACAACAAAGACATCATCGTCTGTATCGGTTCGGAAGACCTAATAGACTCTCTGGTGTCCTTCCTGGATTTAGCTGTTCCCAAAGAATTCGCTGGATTTGCTGGCACTGACCCCAGGCTCTGTAGCCTTATGCTTCTGCTGAGGTTGATAAGGTTGAGTCCCCCGACCATTGAGATTACATCAAGTCCAGCTGTCCTTCAAAAACTTGCCGATATAGCTCTGAATGTGGATGGAAACAAGGAAGTATCAAAGACAGCGTTAGGGTGTCTTGCCTTGATGTGTAATGACAAGCGCAAAGGTAAAGAGGTGGCCAATGCGTTGGATTCTTACGTACCTGCTGATAGTGTTGGGTTTTGGGACATCCCAGCGGATAATATTTGGAATGACGATGTCGATTATGAGATTCTGCGACATTTTCTTCAGCATCAATGTCCATCGACGTGGTGGAACTCGGACGTGTCGGTGGAACTTGCAAATGACAGAGCATCATCTACACCAAAAAGTCCCACCTTAACTCACCTCAACTCACGGGCAGCTGTCAATGGTGTTTATGACGATCACGCGAATCGTGACATTTTCTCTAACTGAGAGGTAACTAAATACATAGACTGGAGTCTTGTCGGTGTGCTTGTGTGTTTTGTAGTAATCATAGCTATAGTTCTTTTCGTTGGAGATTCCTTTTTGCCGTAGGCTATAAAATGATTCCAATTTCATTTTTAAACTCTAACAACCCCTTTGTGTGTTAATAACGCAGAATTAAAAGTACAGAGTTTACATATGACTTTCATTCAGGGGACTCCATTTTAGAAACCATCTCAGCAGTATGTGGTTACATACTCAAGTGAAGGACTCATTTGAGTTATTCGAAAAATATCCTACCAAATTTGTTCTGGATAGCGCAAACTGAGGTGAATATCAATTCAGTCCATCCCTTGATCTTCCGGTTTCTACCTTCGTATAGGTAAATCGTGTGTATATCAAACTGGACTACATTCACTCTTGGATGGAGTGTAAAGATCCAGAACAGAGCTTTGTGTATGTGACCCAACTCGTCTACATTCTAGTTCAGAGTAGGTACTTTGTCTGTAGAATATCGCCACAACTAAGGACTGTCCAGTTGAACGGACACCCTCACCATCATCTGTGAAAAATTTACACCCAGAAACAAGTCAATCCTGAACTGATAACGAGATTTGTGCATAGAGAATATGCAATAATTTCCGGCATCCACCTTTCGAGTCCCAAAATGGGGTGATCAATGTTAGCTTCTTGTTTGAATCGAACTCACTTGTGGTGACAATCTTCCAAAAAAGCTTTCAAGCTCCTATACCTTCATTTGTTTTATCTCATTAGCAAAACATATTTCCACTTCTTGCGTTTGCTCACTTTGACTTTGTCCACGTGACCTTATGGCCAATTGAAAGCCTGGTCCTTGTCTGCAACGGAACACCTCCTGCAGCATCTTGATAACCGGAAATGCTGGAGTAGATGCTTGATCCATGCACTCTTAATGAGTACCAGCTGCTAAAGTCCTGAGTTTGTTGGAGCTACGGTATTTTGTAAGGAGTCAATGTTGCCATTAGACTGCCGTAGACCTAGTTTAATCTATAAACGACAGCAGGATGGTGGAAGGATATGAGTTTGTTCTTGTTCAAATACCTTCACAACCTAATGTCTGTATTTCATTCTCTTCTCAGTAGGGAGTTCAATCCGATATACTGAACTGCATCAGCATTCAAATTTGAACTTGCCAATTGTCTTAGAATTGCAGGAGATGTGCTGTTTTTTTGTTCCTTTTTCATTTCTACTTCTTCTTTATAAATTGAACAGATGGGATCTTGCCAATGCCAACTGTTTGTGTGGAAACTGACATGCACTTAATGCCGTAAGTTCCAGCTACTCTGGAACTAGCTTTCATAGCTATCCATAGTCCTCTCCAAACATGTAATTGTAGCATCTTACTGTCAATATGCTCATGATGTGTGACTGTGTTTGGCAATGACCCTCCTATCAGTAAGGAGAGGCATGTGCTACCTCCACTTCCTCATCCTCATGTGTCAGTCAAGCGCACCAGCTTCATGGCCACCCTCAATTCTCTACCCATTCTACAGTGTAACTTTACCTCATCCTGGATCTAATTTTACCACTTCATTCCCATTTGGATAACAGGGTGAATTTGATTGTATGCCTATTAATCTATCTGTTGAGCCCAAGTCATATCACCCACCCTCATCACCAGTTTTGTATGCTTCTCCCATGTGGTCTAATGAAGAGTTGTTAACAATTTGCCATTTGAAGTCACATTTTCCAAAACATTATCTAGTCACTTTGCACTCTGATGTTGCAGTTCAACAATGACATCAACCACAGCCTTAACTCCACAAGCTGGCTGGCCTGGCTGCTGATACCTCCTACATCATTTGCAACATCAGCAAACCCACACACAACCCCTTCATGTTGTGACAACATGTGCTGAGCTGGCTAGGTTGTGGTGGCAGGAGCTCCAAAACCTTGAATTCTGCCACATGAGGATACCTCTCCAGGCAACAAACAAGTGGCCTTCTGGTATTCCAGGATGGATTGTAATGGAGTAGTTTGCAAGCAATTCCACAAGTACTGAGGGATCATACACAGTAAATGCGTGGAAATGAAACATCATGGGCCCAGATCTCATTAACAAATCAGAACATTTAGAGTAGCCAGGACTCTAACTCCTAACCACAGCCCTGACACATACACAAACATGCAGGCATTGACCATTCTAAATCAGCATAAATTAACCCTAATTAACACAATATCATCCTATTCAGCATTAAGTCACCCTGATCAGTTTAATCATGCTCAGGGAAATCTACTTTGTATTCTGAGCTGAAAAACAACATGACCCTCTATCAGCTCTGTTTTTTGGGCATTGCTAGGGAAGCTGAATTGTAAGTGTAAGAAGGAATGTGAGGGACCCATCCTGTGGGGCTGAGCTTGAGCTCTCATGTTGCATGCTGCCTTTACATGCATCAGAAATATTGCATGAAAACACAAGCATGTACTTGCTCAGTTGTTACCCTCACAAACTAATGAGCCTGTAGCAAACACATGTAAAAATATAAATAAATAAATAAATAAATAGCTCGAATTCAGTGTTCTCTTTTCCTTCAATTAATGAACAAAAGAAGGACTTGTACTGGCAACAAGTCAAACTGGTTGGTTGTACTAAGAACTTTGTGGACATTGACCCAACACAGTAAGAAAAATGATAGAATAGAATAAAATGTAAAGAAGCCAAAAGAGAAAGGGGGGGAAGTAAGTTGAACAATTAAGATTAAAAAAAAGGATGATGACCAGGCTCTCCAGCAACTGTAATTTGCAACAACTATTTGGCTTTGACTTGACACTAACAATAGTATGAAGATTAGGTGGCCAGACTCCTTAATCTTGTTGCAACAATCTCTAATTAATTTTCACCCATAATATTGACTTCTGAGATTGGATTTGAATCTAGGCATGGAAAGAGTGGACTGTCCTTCACAAATTTCACACCAATATAAATGTGTATGCATATTCGTGAACATACACATCAAACCCCAACTGCCTTGTATTATTAGTGACCAAACATAACTTCTGTCAAAGGAAGCAATTATAATCACCTAATTTCAGTAAACTGAGTGTACACTTTGTCTAGCCATGACTCCAATAGTGCCAAGATGCAAGCATGAGAGTGCCAAGCTTTTATTTTTTAAATTTTTTTCTCCTTCTTCTTTTCCCTAGCTCACAAGATATGACAATATTTTTCCATTTGACCTAGCATCCACACTTAAAGGAATCTTTAATTAGAGTAAATAGTCAAATTTATCACATCTTCTATGAATGATCCCATTGTCCTTCACAAATTTCAATGTAAGCACATGTAAAATATGGTTCTTTTGGAGTAACTAACTTTTGTCATTTATTGTATACCTGAATCAGGATGATGCTGCACAGATTGAATGTGATTTCATTTACTTATTGATTCATTATACAGCATTGGCTCATGGTTGACATTAGATCTTGTTCCAGCCCACAAAACAAAATCTTTATTTTGAATATTAATATTGGTATTATATCAATGTTCTCAAGAATCACCAGAGGTTTGTAAGTGTGGTGGTAAAAATAAATAAATAAATAAATAAAAAGTAGGGGAACTAGATCGACTCCAATGCCAAAAATTAAATGCTCTAAAACCTTGGAAGTTCACATGTGGTACACTTCTGGATCCAGGTCTGTGGTATCAAGGGATCAAGGTTTCTAGAGCATAAATGTAAATAGGATTCTGAGCTTCTGCCTTAACCAAATAAACACAAGCATACAAAGGACTGGAGTCTCAGTAGGCCATGGGCATAGGTAATAAGTTAGCACAGCATATTCTGGAGGGAGATAACAACTTCGTACATGCCAATTGCTAGTAGACAGGAAGATGAATAAAATAAAATAAAATAAGTGAAGTAAAAAGTAAAAAGTAAAAATAGTTCTTTGACGGGGAAAAGAACTAAAGCTGCTTCTTAAGAAAAATCCCAACTAACTTTATTTCCTGACTATGTGCCAGTAAGCACTCGCCACCTGGATACTTGACATGAAAAATATAGTAGTAGGAGGGTACATATGGCAGAGGCCAGTGATTTATTATGTCTCGCAGGCTCTGATATCTCTCACTCACAGTCTCTCACACATACACACTTAAACATAGTTTACATTCATGTTTTAAATCATATACAAGGAAGGAATTCTATGTTCAGACACTGGAGAAGGTTTTTGCTAACATGACTTGCCAACTCATCTTTCCACGTCACACAACGCTTTTCATACTGTTCCTCTCTCTCTCTCTCTCTATATATATATATATATATGGTAGTATTTATCAAGAGTAGGCTTCACTAGATGGGAAACTAGATGTCAAATTTTTTATTTTTATTTTTATTTTTACTTTTAATCTTTTGAGCTAGAGGATTTGATTTCAATTGTTATACCATGGTATAAAACACTATTGCAATTCAAGTTTGTGTATTTGTTTAAATATTAGTGAATTTTCAATTGTGCACATTTTGTATTTTTTCAACACTCGTGACAAACTAATAAAATAAAGATCGAATTCTTCATGGCACTCTACTTGTACATGGTCATAAAGGTTTTCTTTCTTTTAAACATATTACATGTTTTTTTTGCACCAACCTTCGATAGTACCTATGATAATAATCTAACCTATGATAATTCAACTGGATCTAAATTTAAACTATAGATTGGTTTAAAAAATGATATATTTTGGATGTTGGTGATATTTTTGTCCATAGAGTCTACATTTAAGAATAAAGTAGTTGAAAATAATATTCATAGAGAGAATATTATGTAGAGCAATTCAAAGGTTTAATTGTAAGATTTTTGAAAGAAATATATTTTCTCTTATTGTATAAATATCTATGGTATTATCTTTTTCATATTAAATGTGTTTTGATCTTTCTTCTTTTCATTCCTACAAGGCTTTAAAAGAGGTATTTTGATGATATATCCCTATCTTATTAATATAAGGTGATATAAAATCTCATTAATCCTTGTTTAAGTGGTAGCCATTGATTTTTAAGAAATATCGTATAATAATAATAATAATAATAAACATATATTTATTATACACATCAAATTTGTCTCAAGCAACCTTTTAACTAAAAAAATGCTAAAATCTTTGATACCAAATGTCTTTTATTTGGTTAATACTCCTACTATAAAGATTTTAATCTATAATATTATAAGTTTAGAGTTTTTCTTTGAATCATATAAATAGTTTAAAATTAAACCAAAAAAATTTGATAGTCAATTTTTTAGTATTTAATAAGATCTTTTAATCTTTTGCAAGATTTTGTTAAAATTTAAACCTTGGTAAAAATTTGGCTAAGATTTTTTTTCATTTACTTAGTTTCTATATACTACCAAAAACTATTCTTGGTAGATTTTATCTATTGTACTTTGAATCATAAAAACCTTGTGAAGTTGAATTTTTTTAGCATAGCATCCTTCAAAATATGGTTTTCTAACAGAAATCGTAATACTATGTAAATATCTATTAATTTTTATCCATAATTATATGTTGATTTATAGTAACCTATAAGACCATAGATCTTACATTATTGTTATATCCAAACTACTAAAAAAATATAGAAAAGAATCAAATATAATTTCTAAATTTAAATAATTTTTATACATTGTGATAAAATACAATAAAATAATAATAATAATAATAATTCATACTAGAAATTATTTTTGCATGTTTTACATTAAGTCTTGTATTAAAAT